CGGCAGTCTTAATTCTAATAAAGTGCGTCTGGGACTTGGTATTGGAGATTTCCTAATCGGGAAAGGCACATCGGAACAGCCAGGTCTTCAAGTTCTTTCTGAAGACTGCCAATGTAGGGGCCTGTCTAAGATCTTTGGGGAGAGTGTTCCAGAGACGGGGGGCCACCACGGAAAAGGCCCTGTCTCGTGTCCGCACCAAACGTGCTTGCGATGCCGGCAGGATCACGAGCAGGGCCTCTCCAGATGAACGTAGTGAGCACGTGGGTTCGTAGATGGAGATGCGGTCATGCAGGTAGGCTGGTCCCAAACCGTTCAGGGCTTTGTAGGTAAGCACCTGCACCTTAAATTGGGCTCAGAAGATAAACGGCAGTCAGTGGAGCTCCTGTTGTAAGTAAATTTCTGGTTTGTAAGGTAACTCTTTTATTCACCTCTAACTTCTACGTTTTATTTTCCAGTGATTGGTTGAGGGGGTGGGATGCCAAAATAATGTTTGCTTACCTTTGAAAATTACCTTGGGCCGCCTCTGCTTATATACAATTCTATACAATTACACATAGTAATCTCTGATTAACTTAACTTAACTCAGACCCAGGATTACATCATTCACAATCACCTGGACTAGGCCAGAACACATTCCCCAAATGAAGTTCTATATACAGTTAATGCATGACTCAGCATTTCCAATAGAAGCCCATTAGCAGTGCATGACTCAACTATATTACATTACAATACATTGTAAAACCTGACACATGTATATTCATGTTGTTGTTGTTCACTCGTTCAGTCGTCTCTGACTCTTCGTGACCTCATGGACCAGCCCACGCCAGAGCTCCCTGTCGGCCATCACCTCCCCCAGCTCCTTCAAAGTCAGTCCAGTCACCTCAAGGATGCCATCCATCCATCTTGCCCTTGGTCGGCCCCTCTTCCTTTTACCTTCCACCTTCCCCAGCATAATTGTCTTCTCTAGGCTTTGCTGTCTCCTCATGATGTGGCCAAAGTACTTCAACTTTGTCTCTAGTATCCTTCCCTCCAGTGAGCAGTCGGGCTTTATTTCCTGGAGGATGGACTGGTTGGATCTTCTCGCAGTCCAAGGCACTCTCAGAACTTTCCTCCAGCACCACAGTTCAAAAGCATCTATCTTCCTTCGCTCAGCCTTCCCTAAGGTCCAGCTCTCACATCCGTAGGTTACTACAGGGAATACCATGGCTTTGACTATGTGGATCTTTGTTGCCAGTGTGATGTCTCTACTCTTTACTATTTTATCGAGATTGGACATTGCTCTCCTCCCAAGAAGTAAGCGTCTTCTGATTTCCTGGCCACAGTCTGCATCTGCAGTAATCTTTGCACCTAGAAATACAAAGTCTGTCACGGCCTCCACATTTTCTCCCTCTATTTCCCAGTTGTCAGTCATTCTTGTTGCCATAATCTTGGTTTTTTTTATGTTTAGCTGCAACCCAGCTTTTGCGCTTTCTTCTTTCACCTTGATTAGAAGGCTCCTCAGCTCCTCCTCGCTTTCGGCCATCAGAGTGGTGTCATCTGCATATCTGAGGTTGTTAATGTTTCTTCCAGCAATTTTCACCCCAGCTTTGCATTCATCAAGCCCTGCACATCGCATGATGTGTTCTGCATACATGTTTAAAAGGTTGGGTGAGAGTATGCAGCCTTGCCGTACGCCTTTCATATAGAACAATAAAAAAGAAATATCAACTTTAAAATGGAAGAAGCACAAAATTGTTGCACAAAGTGAAGAGGTATCATTTTCTTCATACTGTACTAATTCCAGCCTCCTCCCTCTCTTCATGAAGCCAAACATACCAAAAATAAAAACCACACAAAATCAACTAACCCAAAGTTCCTCAAAGCAGACAAGAGCAAAGCAGACCACAATCTCCCAAAGCAGACAAGAGCACGAGGCACAGAGGCTGCTTCCTTAAAGCGCTAAAGCCCTGTACTCTCACACTCAGGCTCCCTTTGGTGCTAGCTCTTCAAAGTGCTGCTTTATGTCAAAGTAAAACCCAGGCTGAGCAATGGCTCTTAAGTAAAAATATTCTTAAATTGGGACACTCTTAAGTCAATGTTCCACTGTATAGGCATTGCTGGGGAAGCAGCAAGTATTGATGTCCTACATACAGAACTTAAGAGCTGCTCTCAGCTTTTTGCAGGGATATTAAGATATTGTTTCAACTCTGAAGATTATATCAATGTGACTTATAAAAAAAATTAAAAATCAGATGTCTTGTTCTACCTCTTTTCAAACCACCGTGTCAGTGCCCCCCCTGCCCCCCACATATACATCTATAGTTGGCATCAAAGACTATTAATCTTTTATGGATTATTCTAAAAACAGACCATATAGACAAAAACACACATACATAAAAAAAATCACCGAATAACTTTCTTTTAGTCTTTCTTCATCCTGTTTTCATCTCTTATTAATATCATAATAATACAATCCTGTTTTTGTTTTATAGCTGCTTCAGAGAAAAAGTTGATTAGGAAGAGTTATTTTGGTCCATTGCTGTGTAATTCATATTAGTCATTTTCCTCTTTGCATCATCCCACCATCCTGGGCAGGTGAGCAACACATCAGGTGGAAAAGTAATGGCGTGAGATAAAGAGCTTCTTTCAGTTCTTGTTCTTTTTAAAAAAAATTTTTTATTTGTTGTCAACATGACCCCAGCATTTACTCACTTCATTGCTCTGTTGGAAAATCAGGGTTCCAGGCACATGTGGAAAGAGACAGCTTGGAATGTCAAAGTGTGGTGAAAGTGACAGCACACCCCTCTTCTATATTCATAATGCCGAGTTTTTAGTGTCTAAAAATATGGCAGAACCATAAAATAAATCTGCCATATCAGGACAGTTCAGAAAAAAATGAATGCTTCTTAGTTTTCACCTTAGTATTACACTATTGGTCCCTATCCCAAACTGGACATAGCTAAACCAACAGCCCATATCCCAGTTGTTTATGTTCAGCTACTAAATTCACAGGCAGCAGCAGCTGTTGCTACTGGACAACCAAATGAATGAAAGTCAGAAGCTTTTGTTGTGCACCATCAAACAATTTACCATTCATGGCAATCATAAAGTGAGCCTATCGTGTGTTTTCTTGGCAAGATTTGTTTTTAGGGATGTGCGCGCGCACGCACCTTTGTCTTCTTCTGTGGGAGAGTACAAATTGTCAAAGTTATTCAGTGGATTTCTGTGGCCATGGGGATTTGAATTCTGGTTTCCAAAATCAGTTTCCAATTCTCAATCTGTTAATTGATCCATTCCAGAAAGCTTGACATTGAAAATTGTGCTGATAAAGTGAAAGAATGACATTGAATGGCACTGAAGTACTAAGACGTAAAACAACAATAACAATGTTTCAGGGGAGGCCCTCTTTTCGCCCCTTCCAATATCACAGACCCAATGGGAACGAGGGAGAGAGCCTTCTCCTCCGTGCAGGCCTGTAACCGGGGGTGGGGTGGGGGGTTAGGAGTTCAACCCCCCCCCCGAAATTTTTCAGGTTAAAAAAAAACTGCAGATGTAATGAGAAACCTTTATAAGGAATAAGCAATAAATCATGTCAGTACCCAGTTTCCAGGGCCTTGGTTTTGGCGTCAGGAACCCGGGTTCTGACATAGGACATTGATAAAGCACCTACGGTGGCTGACCCTGAAAGAAAATGGCCAGCGGTTTGGACGGGTGAATTATAATATTTTGTAAAATATGTATATATAAATGCTTTTGCAAGAGATGTTGTGTTACCATACATGTTGCCATGACGGTTTATGTATGTTGCCAGGCCTGTAGCCAGGGGGGAGGGTTTAAGGGTTCTACCCCTCCCCCCCCCAAATTTTTCAGGTTAAAAAAAAACCTGGTTTACTCATGAATTTTAACTGGTTAACCAAATCCCCATGCTAAGTCTATGAGACGCAAAAAATTAGGAGTTCCTCCAGAACTGCAAGTACTATCTCAAGCAAATATTGACAATTTATTCACACTGTCATTACTTGCAGCAATAGCCGATGTAGCGAAGCAACCAAGTTGGGGGGAGGGTGTTGAATGCTCTCATTAAGCAGGCCAGACTTGGAGGAGGTGGTTGACAGGGGCGGACTGCAGGCTATTGAAGGCTGGTCTGCCCCCTGCTGTGCTCTTTGCTTCAGCGTGAGCTAGGAGGCAGTTTTCAAACCTCCCCCTCCCCCAAAAATTTCAACCCTCCCCGAATTTTTTTTTCTGGCTACGGCCCTGTATGTCGCCATCTCTCTTATAAGGGGGGTAGTTTAGCTTTCAGTTTGCTAGTAAAACTGAATGGCTGTGTTGTGAAATAGTGCATGTCCAAAAAGGTGTGTCAGCAACATAAAAGTTCTGCACTAGGGTATTATGGTGGAAGCATTCCTGCTGCTGGGCGCCCAGTGATTCCAGTCATGAAAAGCCTTCGACAATATATTCCTGCTGCTGTTACCCCCCCCCCCCCTTTGTACCTTCCTCACCACTTGCCCTCCCCTTTCCCCTCACAACACATGCCTTGGCTTTCAGCCTTCTCTCTCCCTTCCCCCACTTGTCTCAACTTACACCTGTTAACTCAACTGTCAGCCCATTGGAGAGGCCCCTCCGCAAAGTAGGCCTTTAAACCCAGGCAGTGGGCAGCCATGAGATGTCGAAGGAGGAGGCTAAGGCGAAGGCTGCAATAATGGAGGACAGGACTCTTTTCTTCGCAGAGGAGGCAGAACATCCGTGCACCTTCCCCCACCCCAGGCAACAGGTGTGAGGGGGGCGTGACCACAACGGGAAAGGCTTGGAGTAGCTGCACCTTTCAGCCCCCTTCCTGGCCTCATCCCTTCCCAGTTCGTTTGGTTTCAAGTAGACACGCAATACTTGATTGGAGGGAGGAGGGGGGGGGGAGTGGAACGGGAAAACATGCGTAGGTCACCATTGAAACTGAGGGAAAGGCGAATGGCCCCAGGCGAGAGCAACGGGGAGAGGGGGCGGGGCGAGACCTAACTGTTCCCGAGGCCCCGTCGACCCCGCCCTTTCCGGGCGCAGGGCACCTCTATCACGCCCCGTTGCTCAAGTTTGCCTGGCGTTCCGATCCGCAATCCCCCAGCGTCAGGCAGTGTTCCAGGATCCTCACACGTTTCGTTACTGTCGTTCCCTGTAAAAAAGAAGTAAACAAGCGGGCATTACTCGCCAGAGGCGGGACGAGGCGGCTAGCCTTTGGAGGGGGCAGGTGGCCCAGGTGTGTGTGTGTGGGGGGGGGGGAGTAAAGCGGCGCCAAGGACAATGCAGGTGCCGGAGGGGCCTCTCCCCCGCCCCCCGAAGAGCCCGGCCCTGAGGTGAAAGGAGCGAGGCGGAGAGCAGGCCGGGTGACGCCCCTCTTCGGACCTGTGCCTCCCTCTTTGCGCGGCGGAAGGAAGGCAGGAAGGCCCGCCCGCGGCTTCCTTGTCGCATCTACAGGTTGCCTTCGAGAAAGGCGGCAGGGGGAGTGCCAGCCCCGCCAGGAGCCCCAGTTCCGCCGCCTCCTGCTGCTTGGCTCCTGGGCGGCGGCTGGGGGCGCTGCAAGGAGAGGCGCCCTCCCTCTCTCTCTCTTCAGGAGAGCCGCACCGCGAGGAGGAGGAGGAGGAGGAGGAGGAGAGCAGCAGCAGCGGCTCCTCTGCGCGGCTCACAGGATGCTGCGGTTCCTGCGCAGGACCTTCGGCCGGCGGTCGATGCAGCGTTACGGGCGAGGAGGACGAGGCGGAGGAGGAGGAGGAGAAGGGGACGAGGGCGACGGGGGAATCGCCTCCTCGCCGAGAGACGCGCACAGCCCGCCACTCCCGCCGCCAACGGCGCTTCATCACATCCAAGCGGCGGCGCCCGGCGGGAAAGGGGCGCTGCATTGCCGGGTGCAACTGCTCGACGGCGCGGAAGTCTCGGTGGAGCTGACGGTGAGTGAGGGAGTGAGCGGAGCCGCCGAAAGGTGGCGCCCAGGGCTACCGCTTGGTCCTTGCTCAGGTAGGGGCCTTAAGTAGGCGCCAAGGGGCGGCGGCGGGAGGGGGCTCCCTGCACGGCCTGCCCCCCCCCACATTGTCGCCTGCCTTGCCCCCCCCCCCTTAACCGTTCCTCGCCCCTCCAACTTCCCAGAGCAAAGGAGAGAGAATAGCTCAGTCTGGGACATTGGTTGGAGGTTCCACTTTGTCCCGCTTCCTTCACATTCTGCGTGACATTTTTTGAGTCTCTTGCGTTGCTGCTGGAAGTTCCATAGGCACGGTGTCGCCTTTTATTTGCATAATATATAATAATAATAATATAAATAAAAATGTAATGTTCGTTTGTGAGACCATCAGAACTCAAAAACCACTGGGGGAATTGACACCAAATTTGGACACAAGACACCTAACAACCTAATGTATGTCCTCCACTCAAAAAAATTGATTTTGCCATTTGGGAATTGTCGTTGCTGGGATTTATAGTTCACCTACAATCAAAGAGCCCTCTGAACTCCACCAATGATGGAATTGGGCCAAACTTGGCACGAATATTCCATATGCCCAAATATGAACACAGATGGAGTTTGGAGGAAATAGACATTTGGGATTTCTAGTAATATAATCAGAGCCATCCAGTCATAAAGATAGATAGATAGATAGATAGATAGATAGATAGATATAATTCTCACACACAGAGACCCTTAAAGAAGGACTGTGATATGTTGCATGTTCCAGAGTAGGCAAACCAGACAATCTCCACATCAACACTGGCAAAGAAACTGCAAGAAATACTGTTTACTCACAAGCATAAAGACATTACATACATTAGAAACCAACACTTTCTCATTACTTTATTTTCCAGATCACCAGACTGGGCTACAGCAACGTGTGGCAGGGGACAGCTAGTAATATAATAATAATGCTTTATTTATAACCTCCCTTTTAGGGACAAGATAATAAACTATAATAATAATAATAATAAACTTTATTTGTACCCCTCCACCATCTCCCCAAAGGGGACTCGGAGCGGCTTACATGTGGCCAAGCCCGAACAAAAATTACAATATAACAATACGAATTACAATCAGATAAACACCATAACAGTAAAATATAAAACATCAAAGCATATAAAACAATATACACAGATAGGTTCTGTGGGTCTGTTCTTAAGCCATTCAAGCACGCACACACACACACACACACACACACACATGTCATGAATGACTTTTCAATGACTTTGAAGCATAGGTTCTTTTTATTGCAATTTCCAGTGTGAGAGGGTATATCAGATTCCAGAAAACATTTAGATAAAGAATGACATTGGGCATACAGACATACAGATTCTATGCAACTACATTGGATTTACAATTACATTGGTTAACAAACAAACAAACAAAGGGGAATTACATTTTCACTCAACATTCACACACATGTACACGCATTCATCCTCAGGCATTCAAATATTACCATATCCTTTTCTCCCTCCTTGGAGGTGCACCTGTTAGGCCAGACCTTCCTTTCCTGCAACCTGTCAACGCATAGTTCCAAAACTTCCATAACGCCAAAACTTCAAAATGCCGAAACGCCAAAACTTCTTTCCCTAAGAACAATGCCAAGGACCAGACCTCTGTTTTCCATACAGCAGAACCTGACTCCCTGCACAAAATCTAAGACTCCAAAAGCTCACTTCTTCCTCTTCCCTTGAGAAAGAAGCCCCAAAGTGACCAGATTGCTCCCTTGCAGATCTGCCACTCTCCGAATACACCATCTCTCTCCTTCCATGGCGGGTGGAACAGACTCCTCGGTCTGCCACAATTTGAGCTTTATTAGTCTGAGTCTTTCATACGAATATTCTGTTGACGTAGTCCCAAAGTTGTAAATTAATGATAGATGTCTTCCATCCTGGATCCATCTCAGTGTTGATCTTCTTGATTGGTGTTGACAAACACAAGCTTGTGTTGACTTCCTTCTTAACATAAGGAAAGTTGCAAACATTTCCTTTATCACTGTCCCGTTCTTGTCAGAGTTTACTCTTCAGATCTCATTAACAGGTTTTAATCACAAAGCAGCAAGCAGGTAGTTCGTCATTGCAGACCTTAATATTATACTGGTGTTTCCAAAATTATTAACTCCATCCATACAGCTTTCATTCTTCCATTCATTCCCACACGTCATAGAATCATAGAATAGAATCATAGAATCAAAGAGTTGGAAGAGACCTCATGGGCCATCCAGTTCAACCCCCTGCCAAGAAGCAGGAATATTGCATTCAAATCACCCCTGACAGATGGCCATCCAGCCTCTGCTTAAAAGCTTCCAAAGAAGGAGCCTCCACCACACTCCGGGACAGAGAGTTCCACTGCCGAATGGCTCTCACAGTCAGGAAGTTCTTCCTAATGTTCAGATGGAATCTCCTCTCTTGTAGTTTGAAGCCATTGTTCCGTGTCCTAGTCTCCAAGGAAGCAGAAAACAAGCTTGCTCCCTCCTCCCTGTGGCTTCCTCTCACATATTTATACATGGCTATCATATCTCCTCTCAGCCTTCTCTTCTTCAGGCTAAACATGCCCAGTTCCTTAAGCCGCTCCTCATAGGGCTTGTTCTCCAGACCCTTGATCATTTTAGTCGCCCTCCTCTGGACACATTCCAGCTTGTCAATATCTCTCTTTGATTGTGGTGCCCAGAATTGGACACAATATTCCAGGTGTGGTCTAACCAAAGCAGAATAGAGGGGTAGCATGACTTCCCTTAGATCTAGACACTATGCTCCTATTGATGCAGGCCAAAATCCCATTGGCTTTTTTTGCCGCCACATCACATTGTTGGCTCATGTTTAACTTGTTGTCCACGAGGACTCCAAGATCTTTTTCACACGTACTGCTCTCGAGCCAGGCGTGCCCCATTTTGTATCTTTGCATTTCGTTTTTCCTGCCAAAGTGGAGTATCTTGCATTTGTCACTGTTGAACTTCATTTTGTTAGTTTTGGCCCATCTCTCTAATCTGTCAAGATCGTTTTGAATTCTGCTCCTGTCCTCTGGGTATTAGCTATCCCTCCCAATTTGGTGTCGTCTGCAAACTTGATGATCATGCCTTCTAACCCATCATCTAAGTCATTAATAAAGATATTGAACAGGACTGGGCCCGGGACAAAAACCTGCTTATGGCACTCCACTCATCACTTATCTCAGAGGTTTATTCAGAGGTCTGTTGGAAATGAGGCAAGTGGAGTGTACATATCAAATCCACATTTCTCAAATCCGCAATAATATTTTCGTGACACACACACATGCTTTAGATATCATAGGCAAGGGTTAACACCTCTGTGGCGTTTGTTTTCCTGTCTGTTCCCCTGTTCAGAAGATTGGATTTTGAAACATTTGTCTTGTGGTGAAAACAAGGATTGGTGCTAAAGCTTCAGTGGAGACACCTTTCCCCGATGTCAACTCTTTCAGGAATGAATTTCCCTTCCAAGGGATGGATTTCTCTCGCTTCCAATTGTTGTACACCCGTTCCTAACTACGAGTCGTTTTGTACGTCGGATGTTTATAACATGACAACAGTCTGTGCTTCTAAAGTTCTTAAACAGCCTGACTGTTCTGTATATTCTGTGAATATACAGAACATAGACAATGGTACTTATGAGCTTACTTTTCTCAGTAGAAGCAAACTAAAAGGTCGGAGTCCATGGCAACCGTAAACAAATGTTAGTACCAAATGTTAGTACCAATTAACATTATTGCAACAGAATCAAGGTGCTGCTTTGGTGGGTATTTTTTTAACTGAGCAGAAATTTATGTGACTATGTTTAGACTCAGATTACGTGGCATACATTTCAGGGGGGTTTCTAGCAGTCCAACTTTCTGATGTAAGGGAAGTCTTATGTTTGTGAACAAACAGGATCAGCCAGCAGATAACATTCCTTGAAGAGTCTTAAAGGCGTGTATACCCAATTGCTGACAGGTTGATAAATCATACCCACAAATCCTTTGTACTATTCTGTGGGGAAAATACAGTTCCACAGGCACATCAACCCCACCTCCCATAAATAGACCTTTATTGCTTCCTCTGGTCTTTGTTTCTCTTTAAATGTTCCAACCACATGGAATATATATATTACATATTGGTTTGTAGACGATATACACACAATGATTGTATGAGTTGCTGTGAGTTCTTTGGGCTGTGTGGCCATGTTCCAGTAGCATTCATCTCTGGCAGGCATCCTCAGAGGTTTGTTCAGAGGTCTGTTGGAAATGAGGCAAGTGGAGTGTATATATATTTGTGGACTGTCCAAGGTGGAGGGAGAACCCACGTGAGGAAAGAATGATACTGGATAACAGCCATACAACATGAAAAGCCCACAGCAACCAATTGATTCTGACCATGAAAGCCTTCGGCAACACTAGACAAAATCCTGGCAGAATTTGATATTTTATTTATTATTTTACATATTTGTATCCCACCCTTCTCACCCTAAAAGGGGACTCAGGGCGGCCTTACAGCTGGCAGTGATTTGATGCCAATACATATAAATATAATAATAATTTATTTATTTGACCAGTCATATGACCATTTCAAAATACAACATGAATAAAAGACAAGTCAAAAAGGAGAGGATAGCAGCTGACCTTCTATTTACCACCAGAGTCTTATTTTCCTGGTTCTTCTTTCAGGAAATGAGCTCTTTTCTTTTCTTTTTTTTTTTTGAATAAATTTTATTGAGTTTTATTGAATACAGCGAAAGAGGGGGAATATATTCAAGAAGATAGTAAAGTAGGAAATTTAGTAGTGATGAGAGACTAAATACATGTGAAAAATTAAAAAAAAGAAAAAGAAAAAAATATATACAAAAAATACCAAAAAATACCAAAAAAATTACCAAAAATACAAAGAGAAAAAAAAGAAAGAAAGAAAAAAAAAGGAACAAGGGGCTTCCTTCTGATTCTGTCCGTATACGTTCTATT